GTTTGCCAGATTTCCGATTGCTGCAGGAAGATTCCCACTGATGTACATCTAACATGTTATTATTGTTGATCCTCAATGTCTGCAGCTGGATGCAGTCACCTAGTTCGTTGGGTATTGATCCTCCCATATTATTATCAGATATATCAAGGTAGCCTAAATTGTTGGCCCACGGGATCACCGTCTGACGATAGTGAACTAGTCTCCAGACCACTAGTCTCAGACCACTAGTCTCCCAGACTAGACCACTAGTCTCCCAGACCACTAGTCTTTCAGACCAGACCACTAGTCTTCCCAGACCACTAGTCTCCCAGTCCAGACCACTAGTCTTCCCAGACCACTAGTCTCCCAGACCACTATATCGGTTGTGTCCGTACCCACACACTACGGATCGAGCTAGAAGAAGAAGGGAGAACAGAGCAAGCACGCACAATACAAGACAACAACGTTGGCCGAGGCCCTGTCTGTGTGATGGCAAATCTGAGCTCTCTTTACTGAGTTGCCTTGGTGCCCTATTTATACAACTCTATCTATCTAACTAAAGTACAACGCACATGCTGTAACAGTAACTAGATAAGTATACAGAGCTGACTCTGCGCCCATCCTTTGCATGTGCCTCTCATCTTTGCAGTGAGCCGTCTGGCGCCTGCACTCTGCAGCTGCTCTTCAGATCACAAATAGGGGGCAAAGTCGGCACCGCCTTCCCTTGCTGTATTCACACACAGCAGGCAGCTAAGTCGGTGCCGCCTTCCTCTGCTGTGTTCACACAAGGTGACAGTAGATTAGCTAACAATCTTCCCCTAATCTTACTGCTAACCCTTGCACCCCCTCCATGCCGATCATCTCCTTCAGCTCCGTGAGTCGAAGTCGTCCGAGCGGCTTGGTGAGGATATCCGCAAGTTGCCGACCAGTTTCCATCGTGCTCGGCTAGCGCAAACGTGGGTGGTTCCTCTGCACTAACGAGTAGCAGCTCTGCGTCGTTGAGCAGCCTACCTGCCGGACCTGAGGGACTGTGCTGCCGCCGACGATGTCGTCCCAGATCATGGAACCTCAACTCCTCACCTTCGTGGTAGGCGTCCCACGAACTCAAGGTGATGTCACTTGGAGATGAGGTGAACTTGATCGGGGGTGATGGAGTTCCTTCTTCCGCCGGAGTGCCCTGCATAGCACCTGAAGTGCTCGGCAAGCATCGCTTCGACGCTTGTCATAACTCCTGCGGTGTTCGGCACACTATAGGAGTGCCCACCTCGGTCTTGGAGTGGTCGGAACCACGATGAAGACGTCTTGGCTCCGCCATGGGAGTGCTCGGCACACCGTCACCGGTGGTCGCCACCACTGCAGAACCTCCCCGCTCCACTCTGGCGTGCTCGGCATCCCTCCGAAGTGCTCGACACTCCTCTCGGTGTGCTCGGCATCCCTCCTGAAGCTCGGCCTTTGCCCCGAGTGCTTTCGACTCTCTACCGCCGGAGTGCTCGGCGCTCCTCCCGAGTGCGTGACACCTGTTCCAGTAGCGTCTCCACCGCCGTGGATGACCAAGTGCTCGACGACGACGAAGGTGTTGGTGAAGCCTCCCGCTTCCCCATGCTCGGTGTGCCGGTCCCAAAGCTGCCTCCTCGTTGAACACAACGTCACGCGAGACGATCACCTTGTCTCCACGTGGGTCATAGAGCCGGTACGCCTTGGTACCCTCCGCCTAGCCCAGGGAACACCATGGGTGTGCTCCATCCTCCAACTTGGTGAGGTTCGCTTTTGTCTTCTGATGTGGCCGATGCAACCGAATGTCTAGAGGAATGACACGTTCGGCTTGCTCCCGTACCAAGCTTCGAACGACGTCTTGCCCGTTAGGGCTTTGATTGGAGCGCGGTTGAGGATGAACACCGCTGTGGTCACCGCCTCTCCCCAAAACTTTGCCGGCATCCCTTTGGCCTTCATCATGGATCGGGCCATGCCGACCATCGTCGTTCCGTCGCTCCACCACACCATTCTGTTGTGGCGAAATACGGTAGCGGTGTGATGTTGCACCACACCTTGATCCATGCGATGACGTAGCAAACTCCACCAAAGTGAATTCACCACCCGATCGGTCCTCGAGACACGGAGCTTCTTGCCGCTCTCGGCCTCCGCGCGTCTTGAACTTCTTGATCGCCATCGCCGCTTCGTCCTTGCTTTCGTTAGGAGTTGCGACCACATGTAGTGACCGCAATCGTCCACGAGTAGGAGGAAGTACCGCCGACCACCGCATGTAGCAGGCGTGATCGGCCCGCAGAGGTCGCCGTGAACTAGCTCGAGAGCTTCCTTCGCGCGATACTTGGCCGCCTTTGGGAAAGGTAGCCTCCTCTGCTTCCCGTCCAGGCAGCTGTCACATAGCTCGCCTCCGTGTTTGATGTGGGGTAGCCCTCGGACCATCTTCCCCAGCCGACCAAGCGCGTCGAAGCTGAGATGTCCGAACCGAGCATGCCACATCCACGGTTCCTCGGAGTGCCTTGCCACCAGGCAAACCGGCTGCTCTACCTTTAGGTCGAGCAGGTACAACCGGTTCAGGGACCTCTTCACCTTGGCGAGAAGTCGCTGCTCCCGGTCTCTGATCATCAGAATGCCGTCCTTGATCAGAACCTCGCTACCGTGCTCATCCAGCTGACCAATGTTGATGATGTTGGAACGCAGCTACGGGATGTAGTATACATCCGTTAGCGCGCGGTGCTCCCCGTTCTGGCATCTGAAGATGATGGTGCCGCGCCCTTGGATAGCCACCCTTGAGCCGTCACCAAATTTCACCGTACCGGTAACATCACCATCGAGCTCGGAGAAGGAGTCCTTGGAGCCCGTCATGTGGTTATTGGAACCAGAGTCCAGATACCACCGCTGCTCCTGGTCGACGCCCACATGCCCAAGATGGACTTGGGCGCGTGGTTCGTCGAGGTTGACGGTCTTCAGGGCCTTGCTAGATCCTTCCACCATCGTCGCCTCTTCCCTCTCCATGGCCTCAACGTCGTGCAGTGCATAGAACGTCGCCATAAGGATAGTGGCCTCATCCTCATCATCGGCTTTCGCCAGGTGAGCCTGAGCCTTCTTTTCCTTCTTGCGATTTGGGCACTCCCGTGCCCAATGGCCCATCTTCCCGCAACACCGACAGGCGTTGGAGTCGATTTGCTTCTTCTCCGAAGAAGCCCTACCGCGATGTTTGTCGTTGCCACCGCGACTGGAGGGGGCTGCCTTCCCGGAGTTTCACCGAGCAGCCCACTCCTCTTCCGTCAGCAGGAGTTTCCCGCTGTCCTTCGTTGCTGTCGCCTGCTCTAGGCGCTCGTCCACCGCCCGTAGACAGCCTGCCACATCCTCGATGGTGAGGGTGGACAAGTCCAGCATCGTCTCTATGGAGAGAGCGATCTAGATGTACTTTGCCGGCACGGAGTGGAGGAATTTGGAGACCGCCTCCTCTTCGTCGATGGTGACGCCATGGCTCTTTAGCTTGCTGATGAGCATCTGCAGGCGGAGGGAAAAGTCCTCCACCATTTCACCATCCTTGAACTTGCGGTTTGCGTACTCCTATTTCAGAAGCTGGGCCGTCGCCTTCTTTGCGCGGTTGGAACCGACGCGCATCGCCGCAATGGCCTCCCACGCCTCCTTAGCTGAGCTCTTCGTCCCCAAGGATTCCCTGTACTCCGCCGGTACAGCAGCGAGGATAGCCTCCAACGCTGACATGTCATCTTCTTCCACGTCGGTGCCCTTGTTAACAGCATTCCAGAGCCGTCGGGCTCTGAGCTTGACCTTCATGGTCACCGACCACTCTCCATAGTTAGTGCGAGTCAGCGTCGGCCAAGTGGTGCCGCTGACCTCCCGCACCGTGCGGACAACTACCTCCGGTAGTGGCTGGGCAGCTATGACAGTGCCACTACCATCGCCCAACTCCAAACCGTCTGTCCTTGCCATCGGTTAGAATGACGACGACGCTTGTACGGCTCTGATACCGCTTGTTGACCCACGGGATCACCGTCTGACGATAGTGAACTAGTCTCCAGACCACTAGTATCAGACCACTAGTCTCCCAGACCACTAGTCTTCCAAACCAGACCACTAGTCTTCCCAGACTACTAGTCTCCCAGACCACTAGTCTCCCAGTCCAGACCACTAGTCTTCCCAGACCACTAGTCTCCCAGACCACTATACCGGTTGTGTCCATATCCACACACTACGGATCGAGCTAGAAGAAGAAGAGAGAACAGAGCAAGCACGCACAATACAAGACAACAACGTTGGCCGAGGCCCTGTCTATGTGATGGCAAATCTGAGCTCTTTTTACTGAGTTGCCTTGGTGCCCTATTTATACAATTCTATCTATCTAACTAAAGTACAGCGCACATGCTGTAACAGTAACTAGATAAATATACAGGGCTGACTCTGCCTCGGCCACTGCATGTGCCTACAGTGCTGCAGGTGAGCCGTGCGGCGCCTGCACCTGCAGCGGCTACTGTATCACAGCAGGGGGCAAAGTCGGCGCCGCCTTCCCTTGCTGTGTTCACACACAGCAGACAGCTAAGTCGGCGCCGTCTTCCTCTGCTGTGTTCACACAAGGTAGCAGTAGATTAGCTAACATAAATTACTCAGGTTTCCAAGTTGTGGTGGTATGGATCCGGATAACTGATTTGACGATAGATTCAAACTGTAGAGGTTTGTTAAGTTGCCGATTTCTGATGGAATCTCACCGCTTAAGCGGTTAGAATCCAGTGTTAGTTCCACCAAGTTTGGCAATTTCGCTAGGGATGGAGGTATTGGGCCGGTAAACAAGTTTTCTGATAAATACAACACCTCTAGTTGGGGACAGGAGCTAAAATTCTGCGGGATCTGACCAGAAAGCCTATTGGATGATAAGCTTATCTTCACAAGCTGTGGGTACACACCAAACTGTTCAGATATATCATCTCCTGTGAGCGTGTTCCCGTCAAGTCTCATTCGGACCAAGGTCGTACATGCCTTCAAGCTCCTTGGAATAGGGCCATCAAACATGTTCAAAGGGCCATAAAAAGTTCTAGTCTGCAATGGGAGTTGTTGCTTAGGTCAAGCTGAACTATGCCTGTGATGTTTTCGAACTCATGAGGAAGGGAACCTGATAACTGGTTAGTGTAGAGGAGAAGATTCTCGATGTTTTGCAAGTTGCCAAAAGTTTTTGGTATTGTGCCAACAAGTTGGTTCTCTTCCAAGGACATGAAGAGAATTTGGAGATTTGATAGGCGACCTAGTTCAATTGGTATGGGACCTGTGAATCCGTTTTTACAGAGACCAAGCTCGCTCAATTTAGTGAGGTTGGATAAAAAGGTTGGGATGGTACCTGTAAGGTGGTTCATGCAGAGATCAAACTGTTGCAAGTTGATGAGTTTGCCTAGACCTGGAGGAATAGAACCTGTAATTTGATTCTTATATAGAAGAAACAAGGTGATCTCAGTGAGATTAGATAAAGAGACAGGGATTTCACCAGACAGTGTATTTGTGCTAAGATCAAGTTCCTTCAGATTGATGAGCCGGCCTAGTTCTGTGGGTATGGGCCCAGACAGCTCATTTGTGCTAAGATAGAGTTCTTGCAGGTTGACGAGCTTGCCTAATTCTGTGGGTATGGGTCCAGACAGTTCATTACCAAACAGATACAAGAAATTCAGCTGGGTTAAATTTCCCACCGGTTAAACTGCTGTTGCTGCAGGTTGACAAGCCTACCTATATCGTTTGGAATGGAACCTGAGACCATGGTTTGGTGAATAACAAGCCATGTTAACGATGTTAGATTGCACAAGGATGCAGGGATAGGGCCTGTGAGGTTGTTAAAGGAGACCTCAAGGAATCTGAGGCTCTGTAGGCCACCAATCTCATAGGGTATATTTCCACTGAAATGGTTGTGGTGCAAGTTTAGATACTGAAGTGAGAATGATGCACTGACATTAGCTGGTATTGGACCACAGAGACTATTGTTATGCAAGTCGATGTGTGTGAGGAAAGGGAGAGCTGAGAAGTTGAGCTCACCAAGCTGGCCACGGATACCGGCATCTGGCAGGGAGATGTTGGTCACAACCCGGCTGGTTGGGCGGCGACCGTGGCGCATAGACATACATGTGATGCCAGTCCAGTTGCATGGGCCGGTGTTGTCCTGCCAAGAACTCATCATCGGCGGCAAGCTATCAAGGGTAGATTTCCAGTGGAGCAGAGCCATCTTCTGAAATCTGAGTGGTGTGTCCCCATGTGCTTGTGAGAAGAGAAGGCATAGGTATGGCAGGATCAATAGGTGGAGGCACAGCAGAGGCCTTGAGGAAGGTTGCACTTTGTTGGATAGCATTCTCATCTGGTGTTCAGAATGTGTGTAGAAGTTGGGCAGGTGTGGAGACATGCTTGGTTGGGAGCCGATGTTTGATGGGCACTTATATGCAGCTTGCCGTGCTAAGTACTGAGAGAGTGAGAGTTGAGAGAGGGTAATGAGCGCAAATTGCAATGTCGCAATCAGCACCCGGGAAACCCTCTTTTACTGCAGTACGCAAAAATATAAGTAAGCAACTATTGCAGAAGGACTTCCATTTGATGATTTGATCGAATGATTGGAGACAATCATTATATTCTTGTATCTGGAGACTATTGATTGCCCTCAAACGTGAAAATGATTCCTAAGGTTGATATAAATAGCAAAAAACCTCCCAAAGCTGCCTGGAAATTATATGTGTCCCCAAGGACAGTGGGGGCCTAGGAGTGTTGAGCTTGTCTATCCAAAATGAGAGCCTACTGCTTAAGAACCTTCACAAAATTTTCAACAAGCTTGATCTTCCTTGGGTGCATCTGCTCAGGAATTTTCACTATCCAATTAATGGTAGGCTTCCGGTCAATAATAGAAAAGTGTCCTTTTGGTGGAAGGATGTGTCCAAGCTGCTGACTTCCTATAAGGGTATGGCCACTGTTATAGTAAATGATGGTTCTTTCTGCCTTTTTTTGGCATGACCTTTGGAATGGTAAACTACCAAGCCAAAATTTTCCAGAGCTCTATCACTACGCAGAGTTCTTTGACCTCTTCCATTTTACCTCTTCTGGAATATGCTTTTGCTCAGTCTCAACAGCTTTCAATTCTTTTAAATTGTTAGGATCGATGTGTGTACCTCTGTGTGTGTAACCGTAGATCCAGGGACAACCTCTTCCACTAGAGTTCCTCTAGTCGCCCTAGGACAGTAGCGTCGTGACCTCGCGGACACCGGTGGCGAGGTACAGTGGTGGCGGTCGTGACGCTGCAGGGGCGACAGCAGAGGTTGGTCACATCCCGTCGCTGGCAGCGCTCTTTAGGATCGGATTAGGGTTTCTCTGTAGGTGGATGGCGGCTCCGTTGAACCTCGTTGTCCGAGCCCTCACCCCCACCTTCCTTTTATGTGTGCTGTGCGACAGGGGCCCACCAACCGGATTAGGGTTGGGCTCCCCCGATCAGGGAGCAGAGATAAGGGCCCAATAGGCCGTTGGGCCTATTGGTGGAGATCAACTAACATAAATATCGTAGTTTTGCAAGAAGGAAATGGTCTTTGGTGCTATATTTGGGATTCTCAACTATTTGCTTCCAACAAGGCATCAGTTCTCAACTATTTGCTTCCAACAAGTCCTATTCACATCTCTCTGGCTCCAGGCAAGTGCATCCTGTCCAGTCGTGATTATGGAAGTCCTCTTGTCAGCCCAAACGTAAAGTCCTTTTCTGGTTACTGCTAAACAATTGGCTTAGCACCCGAGAACTTCTAAAGAGAAAGAATATGGCAATTGAGGATTACAATTGTGTGCTCTGCCACTTGCTCCTGAAGAAATGTTGCTCCATCTTTTTCTGCACTGCCCTTTTGCTATGGCATGTTGGAATATTTTGGGTCTAGCCCCACTAATCAGGTATGATCTACTGGAGACCCTTTCATGCTTCAAAGAGCAGCTTCGATTACCGTTCTTTATGGAGATCATAGTTGCCATGTGTTGGTCCATTGGTCGGCCAGGAATGGTAGCATCTTCAGAAATTTATAGCATTTAGTGTTGTTGACACTCAAATTGGGTCCAAGCCAATTTAAATAGGCCCATGACAGTTTTGGCCCAATCTAAGGAAAACTCCATAAAGCGACATGATAATAGTACCACATTGGTTTTTCTATGGGATAATACCACCCCTACCCTTTATAAAATAAGGGGTACATGACCGATTGAGTTCCCATCTATCCAATCGTCAAACAAATCAATCTACTACATCTACTCCAATCCTTTTACTCTCTTCTCCAACCTCATGCATGTTCGTCACTTGATCCGATGACTAAGGATGGCGCCCTAGGCTTGCCAGCCGACCTAGGGCAACCTGGCGACGTCCTTGCCCTAACGGGGTCCCTCCCAAACGAGAGCTTCGATGGTTTCTTTGCTAGTTTGCCTGAAAACTAGCCGGTTCTTCGTCACACAAGCACGTTGGTTATACTTTGGAGGTTTGCTTGTAAACCTCTCCATTCCTCACCACGAAAGAGTGACTTACTTGCTGCGTTCTTCGGTCCATAGTGGCCCGGGCGTCCAAGGCCCTGCTGGTTTGTGATTCGGATCACTTCCGATGTCAACACACTTTTTGGCAACTCCATCAGGGATGAATTTTTGCTTCGGCTCTACTTTGTAGCCAAATCTCCTTGCCCAAGCCCTACTCCTCGCTGATCTATCTTTGTGTGCTCGCCATTACCATTGCATCTAGCCCAAAAGGCTGATCGCATCTGGTTTTGACCCCTTGTGATCTCGCTTGCAATTTTGCAACATGTTGCGCTTGCTATTTCATGGAGTACCGAGGTGTTGCATCACAATATTACTACAATCATTCAGAAGTACAACTTGCAAATACATCTTATGATTCTAATAGTTATTTTACAAGTGATATGAACTCTCATGTTGGTGTTGCTAGTTATAATGATACTAGATATGTTACATCGACTAATACTTTTGTTAATGCTCCTCATAATACACATCATGATTATAAATATTACGGTCAAGAGCCGATGTCTGCTATGAATTCTTTGAATTTTGATGCTACTAGCAACATACAACATGTAAATCTTAATTCATCGGCTATAAGCTCACAATATGTGGTTTGACCACAAGACATGCCTATGAATGAGAGAATTGGTTATGACAATGCTAATTATTTAGCTAATTGCTCTCAAAATTCAGCACCATATGCAATGCTCGTATTCATAATTTGGTTTTTTATGTTACTCCCAACTTGAGCCGAATTAATAAAAATTCAGTAAGGTATTTAAGTGCTAATACTCATGATTCGGTTTCACGTGTTACTAGTAACCATAGCCGAATCGATGAAAATTCAGCACCTTATGCAAGGATCAATGCCCATAATTCGGCTTCGTATTTTGCTCATGATCATAGCCGAATTAGTGAAATTTCAGCAAGGCATTCGGGTGCTAAAACTCATGATTCGGCTCCACAAGGTGCTAATAATTATAGCCGAATCAATAAAAATTCAGCAATGTGTGTACATGCTAACAGGGATGATTCGACTTCATATGTTGCTCTTAAATCAAGCTGAATCGATGTAGATTTAGCCCATGCTAGAAATCCAAATGGCTCCTCTAAATGGAAGGTGCCCGCTTATCATAGACCGTACCCATTATGCTATGATTACTTGAAAACTCTTGATGGTTGCTAGGTACCTGATTTTTATGAATTTAGTGGTGAAGATGATAACACCGCTATAGAACACATTAGTATATATCTCTCATAGCTGGGTTTTACTGATAAAGAAGACTATATGAGAGTGTGAAATTTTTGTTTATCTCTTACTGGTATTACCTTTGCATGGTTTACATCTTTGCTTCGATGTACTGTTAGTTCATGGTCTGAACTAGAGGAGCAATTCTATGAATATTTTGGAAAGACTAATGAGAAAAGGCCGATTACAATTGAGTCATCAGCTAAAAGAGGATTGCTAGTGGGCATGAAAAAAGAATTGATTCGGATGTAAGTAAAGGTTCGGCTACAAAAGCAGAACACCACAATATCCTTTCTCGAATCAATCACATATCAAGAAACAAGTCCTGCTATAGAAAAGCATGAGAAGCGCAAGAAAATAGCTAGACTTGATTTTTCAGGAGCTAAAGGGGTTGTACATTAATCTAGTGATTACTACATCATCATTGATGGAGCTCAAACCCCTACAAGCAACAAAGGAGGGCTGCCTGCCTGCTCAGAATTGGCTGAGCCGACTTCAAAGTCGGTTGAGCCGATTGCTGCCTGCCCTGAGTCGGCTAGGCTGACTTCTTAGTCGGCCAGGCCAACTGCCCCTTGTTGACACTTCTTAATGTCGCCACTAGGTTTATGTCCCTAGCAACGGCGCTAGAAATGTTTGCCGATGGTTCGTATGTGTGTATATAGGAAAGGGGATTCCGCAAGCGCACAGAACTATCATGTAGCACTTCGCTTGGTGAGTACCAAGTGTTGAATTTATATTTTCCCAAAGGAAGGTGAGAGGACGGGCACTGTGGTTAGGTAGACTAAGTACGTATGTCTAGCAACCCGGGAGTGATGAGGGTAGTATGGATGATGGATGGGAAAAGATAAAAAGGGATGATCACACAAATAGAGGTAACTAGAAGTGTAGTGTAGCTGAGTGTAAGAACTAGAGTATGTAATCTTAAGGCAACAAAAGTAACTCAATGATAGTGAGATCGTCCTTAGTACGAGGGGTGTAATTGCATTGGATTTAACCGAACATGAAGCACAACGAGCCCTACGTTTTAATAACTAGACCCAACATGGTGGAATACAGAGGAAGGACAGGGTTGTCACCACCTGCCAACTACCACAATCTATCCTATGATCTAGCCGTACCTACAGGCAAGATATAGCCTAAGCACTACACTTAATCTATAAACTCGCTGTTTTGATCCAGACGGTAGAACAAGTACTAACGATGAACGGACTAATCACTAAGATAATAATGATGCAAATGCCAAAGTACGAGCACCTAAATAAAGTACTTAAACTAAGCAAAGCTATATTACTGAATGAAGTACTTGACAAAGTAAAGTACTAAATAAAGTAAATGCTAAAAGAAAGATTACAAGAGGAGCTATACCAGGCCAGAAGACTCTTCTGGACTTCGAGGCGAGCTCTGCTCTACTCTTATCACTACTAGCTAGCTACTACTTCTAAGCTACTACTCTTGGAGAGCTTCTAAGAGCTTGGAACACTTGGAATGCTTGAGAGCTGCTGAGTGATGATCTCCACCGAGCACCCCAACCCCTTTTATAGTGTGTAGAAGGCATGGGGTTACTTGTAGGCGAAGATGAGGTGGTGGAGAGGCGGTGGGGCATCGGCCGATGTTGGCCATGGTTGGCCTACTAT